GAAATTTTGGGAAAAGTGGATAAAGGTCAAGGGGCAGGACCTGGAAGGGCAAAGCAGACGAGATTCCATCCCAATATTCATGATCTCACTGTTGCAGAGCTTCACTCGTTGCCGGTCGGAGTTTATCCCGAGTTGGTTCTCATCAAAACTTGTCAGCTCGATGTCCGACTCCCTAGATCGATGACCTCCTTAGTGAAGCCCTTGTTGGGTCAGCCGGTGCACTAGTAGGGGTATGATAGTTGGAATATTGGGGGAGTGCACCGCTCCGGCGGGGTGTTTCAGCCGGTAGAATGATGCTGGATGAGGCCGAATTGTTTGGTTTTACTGCCTACCTTCACAACAGGCCTCCGCATATATTGAGGGACAAAATCGAAGGCCATTCCTAATTATGTCTTGGAATCCTAATTACGTCACCCTCATCGCCATGAGAAACCAGAAAGAGTGTTTTAAAACTTCAAAAACAGACTGGGTCAGGTGTGCTCAGCTTCAACGAAACCTGCTCTCTATACGCCCTTGTAGGCAACTCTTCACTGCCAATCCCGATGTCGCTCATGCCGCATCAACCTAAACATCCTCTCTCTGCATCTCCTTCCAGAGAAAAATGAACTCCGGCCGATTTGTGTCGGCAGTGATGCAGAAATACTGGTGGACAAAGAATTAATCGTCGGCAGACCGAATTCCAAAGCATCCAGTCCCACGAAGTCAACAGTTGCAATATTGAGCTGGTTCAAGAGCCCCGGATGCTCTAGTCAAATTACCCAAAGTGTAAGTCCAACAACAAGCAGCGAAGAGAGCTGCATTTAACGCATTTCGAAATAATCAAGTATGTTATCATAAGCTCATCAGCCACCAAAGCATTCAGACAGACAGCTCGCGTCAGGCCGGCCGGCGATTAATTTTGTGTGCCTGTGAGCCCTAGATTATACCGTCAGCTGGTTTTGGCAGTCGAGTTGTCGACTCAACAGTCACTCCGAATGTTGCGCGCCGCACAGCGGGCCGACCGTACGGATATCTTCGTCCCTTGGAAGTCACTGTGGCCCGTGGGTCTCGAGTCAACCATCCGAGGGATCCTAGCGTGCTCTCATTGTTAACTTATCATACCCCCCCTTCTCCTCCTGGTGCATGGGAGGGAGGTTGTGGCCTGTATCACTGACTTATGTCTTTACTTTTATGTCTACAGGTCGACATATTCAATTTTTTTTTCAGGTCTGTCACGATTTCTTAATACTAAGGTTTCATGTAGTTGAAAATTGATATATATAATATATATATATATTACATATACAGAAAAGAGTTCATTCTATTCTACGGGACAAAAATGATGATGATGATGATGGTCATGATGATGATGATGATAAATGAGTTCATTGTTTTTGTTATTATTGTGTTTTTTTAAATGGGTTTATATGTCCAGTGCAAAAAAAAGAACAAAATAAGGGGAAAGGGGACAAGCAGATTGAAACAAAATGAATACAATGATAAAGACAATCAAACAAACATTTCCCAAGGTGCATTTTGCGAACCAGGGGGAGCAAGTAGATCACCCTTAGCACCTCGACACCCCTTGACAGGGCATTTGATCCAAGAAACAAAAGAGGCAGAGGAGCCCTTGGGTAGTTTAGTCGAGAGCTTAGAGTCTGTTGGTAGGGTAGGGTTACCGATGGTACTAGATTTATCGAAAAGGGTGGGAGTTGGAGGGATAGTGATTGAAAGTAAGTCTTCGGGGCTTGGAAGAGGATTGGGCTCTTCTTTGGCTTTCCCTTTGCCTTTGCAGTTCTTACTACTGCTGGTGTTTGTTGGGAGGGTGCTGGACGAGCTCTTGCCAGGAGAATGGACGGTTTGAAGGGATTCTAAAAATTGGCTTGAAGTGGAAGGCTTGGAGAATTCAAACGACTTTCGTGCTTCTCTTGCCTCGGCTCTCTCTCTCCTCTTCATGGCCGAGTCAGAGACCCCTTGGCCGCTCAACGTCGATGAGGGTGAAGTGCTGGGGGTTGGAGGTTTGGGAGCTGAATGAGCCGAAGAGACTTTTCTGCGCTTGTTGTTGTTATGAGCTAGTTTGGATGAACCTTCGGCGGCTTGGTTGGCTTTTGACGGTCTGCCTGGTCGGGTGTGATAAGGCGGATTTGAAACTCGTTCAGCGGCTCTAGTTTTTTTAGATTGGTGACTTTCGACCTTATTTTCACGAGCACGAATCTTGGCCTGTTCTAAGCATCGAGAATCGACGACGTGACCACAAGCGAGGATCCAGGGTCTCCGACCATCTAGTGAACCTGCAGAACACGAGTCTTGACCCATCAATAGTTCTGCATCACAGCCAGCACAGATCGGTCGAAGTTCCTGTTTCTCTGGCTGGTCGCTGTCAAGCGAGAGTACTTCTCGATCAAGTGGAATGATCTCTTTGGAAAATCCAGATTTGATCTTGAGTGGATGGGAGTCTTGCACTTTGTAGGGAGGTGACGCGGGTTCTTGAGGTTGCGGGTGATTGTCGAAACCGTAGATAGCAGCGAAGATCTGTTGACCGGTCAGAGGGAGCAGGTTCCCGCGGATTTGAGCACTGATAACCCGAGCATTGGGTCTATCAAAATCATCACTAC